TTGATACAAAAGAATTTCTCGGGTTGCTCCTTGTATAAATGCTCGCTCATCGTTAATATCTTCTTCCTCGAAGCGGCTCGGGATTCGCCTCCTGTATAACAACTTCGCGAGAAACTTCGAAAAAAATCTCGGGCAGTTTCGCGCGTCGACGTTTCCTTTTTGTAAATCCGGAGAGCGAGCATGCGAGCGCGCGGCCGGCGCGCGCTGCCAAATACGGCCGTATCTCCTTCGTTATTTCCGTCCCTTTATTCGTCGGCTGCGGTATTTCTCGGACTTCCCTCAATCGCATGTCGAACTTCGGCGCGGCCCGCTTATGCGAAGTTCGGCCCCGCACAGTGATATCCATTCATTTCGCCGGTATTTTGATGCCCGGCCCGGAGAGACAGAACGCGCAACAGAGCGGAGAGGAATCCGATAATCTCTTTAGCCGGGTGTCACGTAGGTGCTGCAGTTACGCGGCAAGTTTTTTCGTTTATCACGTACGAATCGGGGAGGAGGCCTTCCTTCCAGCCGACCGTGGGATCAAACAGGATTTCACAGACGAGGCGCGGTAACCGAATACACGGCCGAGCCCGCCTTCGAAGCCCGAGAGGTGCGTTTCGCCGCCCGAGAGTAGTATTTTTTCCGATCGATTTGCCCGGGGAATCCATTTCGCCTCTTCGGCGTCTCGGCGCGTCTCTCTCGTCCGCACACCTCGCGACGACCGGACCCAGCTAAGTGTTGCTAATCGCGTTGTTCAAACACTCGCCGCGGCGCTCTCGAGCCGTCTCGTTCCGCGAGACATTCCGCACGTATTATACTCTCCGGTACGAATTCAGCGCGTTCCTGTCGCGAACTCGGGACCGACCTTGCGCGAGTCAAGTCGAAGAGTATGCCCGATGTAATGAAATATTTAGACAAATTTTCTGCCGAATTTCGCTTCGTTGTGATAAATGGTAACGTACTGTTCGCCGACCGAGTGCTCGCCGTCGTTGTCGTGAAAAGTATTATCGGCTTCATCGTCGAAGGAAATCGAACGAAACTTTGTAATAATAATTTACCGGTATTATTTGATATTAGGAAACGTCTCGGTATGCGATGTGTTGCTGACTCTTGTCGGAGACCGGGGACATCGACGTGCTTCTATTTTCTCGAGAAGAACAAATGTCTAGCGAATTAACGGATTTTTGTCGCCGGGGCGAAGCGTCTTTCTAGCTTGATTCTCGTCGATTCATTCGCTCGTGGCGAGATAGCCGCGCGACATGAATGATTTCTCACGGTCGACGGTTTCGTAGTGCTTCCTCCTCACCGGTTGCACGACAAATAGCGCTATCGGTCCTCGTACTCGCGCAGCGCAAGAACCACGGTACACTTACTACCATGCGACGGGTGATTGTCACCTGGTCGTCGTGTACGGCGCCTTATCGCCTTACGGCGTGTTTCGTTTATCGCGGCCGCAGGTAAGCCCGAGGCGGCGTATCTCGTTACGACCGCGGGAACTGGTGTTTGTATCATTGCGATGACCAATAATCATAAGTCGGCGATAGTGCGCGTACGCGACGACACGGCAGAAGAAAGCGAAATGGGTCGAGCGCGTATGCAATTACGACCGGATACGCGCGGCCAGGCGGTCTTTAAATGCTCGCGACAATTTCTAAAGGCGTAAAAATTCTAATTCATTCGGCCGCGCGATCGGCCGGATATTTATAGAACAATTCCACGTAGACTCTCGCAACTCAGCGCGTGGCACACTTATGAAATAATGCTTTCGACTGTGAGTGCGAATGCGTGTACGGACGGCGATAATAACGGAATGCCACGAGTAAACAACGCGGTTGAGAATCTTCTTTTAGTCAGAGCCGATTTATGCAAAGGGGACACCGCTTTTTTTCCACCCGAGGGCTCTCCTCCCCCGAACGTGCGCATCTCTCTCCGAATTAATAATAATGAAATAATTAGCAATTAATATTATTAAGGGGATACTCGGGAATTATGCTTAACGAGTGAAATAAATTCACGAGCGTGAAGTTTAAGAAAACCACAAAGCTTGTGCGCCGACGTTTTCTTCCCTTTACGTTCCTCTCGCCCGAGGATTCGACCGCTACTTTTTACCTGTCACGATTTTACCGATTGCGTTAGTATTACGTATGGCGTGATCAATGTAAATGGATAACGATCGCGATAATAAGTAATGAGAGCCACTCGCCCGGGGAAGAATATTCTCGCACGATGCACGACTCGGTCCGAACCGGGGGCAACCGGTGAAGTATGTAGACGCAGGTTCCTTGGAAACCTTGAATATATTTACTCATGGACCAGGTCACTGTCTCAATACTCCCGCCATTCAACTAGAAATTCTCAACCTGTGGGAATCGTCAGGTAGACACGAGGAGGAGCTAACTGTGCGGCGGCGCCCATACCTCCGCGAGGTTTCCTCTGAAGAATACACGGATTTCCACATGATGCTTGCCGACAATGCCTCTGAAGCCGGTGCCGTTCGAAAGAACGAACAAGTGGCCGATGGATTTTTACTGGCTTTTCAAGAATTTCTCGTGCGACGGATAAACCTCAGCCGGATAAGTCCGGCAGTGGGCGCGATTCTGCGATAACGCCCGTCTCGACTCGGATTCTCCTCGATCTTCTTTGAAAAGTTTATTCTTTGCTATGTAAACATGTCTATAAATAATAATAATAATAATAATAATAATGACAATCTTCATTGACGGAAAAACGGACTTTTAGTATACGTTGCAAAAAAAAAAAAGGGAGAAATCGTAATTGACAGATAATATTTTTAATAAATGCAAAATCAACCTCGAGCGATCCCTGCCTGTTTTCCTTTCGTGCTCGAAATTCTCAGCGCGATTGGAAAAGATTCCGGCAGGTTACATTCGCCGCATTCGTGGGAGAAAAAAATAAATAACGAAGTAAAGAGAAGAGAAAGCGGGAAGAGGGAGGAGGTGGCTGCGAAAGAAGGAGAAGCGATCACCGCGAAATGTCGGCGATCTCCGATGTCACACAGAGAACCGTGCCGGTATACTGAAGCACTAGCAACAGAAGAAGAAGAGAAGAGAGCTCCGGTCAGCTCGTGTTTCGGTTTTCGGCTTTCCGAGAAATATTTTCGTACGCCCCCTGCGCACAAGGAGTCTCTGTTCCCTCTCGCCTCCTTGGGGTGGATTCTCAATTCACCACCGGCTCCGTGAAACCCCGAGAAAGAGAGGTGTCCAATGACCGAGAGACTCTCGACGCGGTAGGTTCGACCTGTGCTGCCGGATGGGATGCTCATGGATGACCGAGAGCTTTTAAACGGCACTTTTAAGCGCGCGCCGGCAGATTAGTGCTGTGAAATCGCGTTGAAATGACGGTTAAGAATGAGAGAAACAACCTCTGGAGGGAGGCTGAAAGAACGTCGAGCGAAAAGGCTCTCGTATTTTCGAGATATTTTCTCGAAAACTCTCGGGTCGGAAGTCAATTCTTGCGAGAGTTGTTACAAATTGATCGTAACGAAAAAGGTACGCGGGAAAAGAAATCAAATGATATATACCCCCCTGACGGTCTATTTTGATGGTCGGTATTATATTCTTTTTTTAAACATCGTTTAAAGAAGAACTTCAAAGAGAGATAATTGGCCGAAGAGCGCGTAATTTATCGCTATTTTAAGTAACTGGGCTAATAGTTTTCGTAGAGATAATGGAAAAACGGCACCTCCCCTTCTATCACAAAAGTGAACTCTCGCGAACTCTTGGCATACCTAGTTGAAATTGAAATTTACCGGTATCGCAAAAAGCGGACCTTTTAGAGGCCCGAAGAGGACGCGAGTCACGGAATAATGATTAATTGCGCTCGAAAGTGCCCTCCGTCGATACCACGGAGTGCCGTTCCATTCATACGCCAAGAATGTCGTAAGCTTCTCGCGTCTCCGGGAGTCTCGCTCTGCTTTGAAAAGCGTAGGGAAACAGTGAAAGAAGCGAAACCCACGGAGACTGCGGAAGGGGGAAGGGGAGGAGTTAAGATTTACAAAGCCGGGGTTAACATTCCATCGCGGTAGGAAGTACAGTCGATCACAGACCACCACAAGACCACTTCCGTACAATGAAGGTCCTAATTCGCATCCAAATCCTATGGCGCATCTCCGGACGACGAGGGTTGGAGCGGCGGGGGGGGGGGGGG